CGCTCCGTGCGGGGCGGCCCAAGATGTCCGATGGCCCCCGCGCCGCGTCTGCTCATGCGCCGCGCACAGTGAGCATGTGCCGGGCAGCCGCACATGTGCGCTGGGCCCGCGTCCGCCGGCGCCCGGGCGGGACCCCCCCCGGCGTCTCGCCCCGCAAGTAGCGGGGCGAACGTGCCCTTCGCCCCGCTCCCAAACCAGCCGCCGCCCGCGGGGCTCGAACCGGCGGCTCCTAGTGCGCGCGGCTCCTCACAGGGCGCGAACTCCCCTGAGGGAGAGGGCTCTGGGGGAGGCCCGTGCGCGGGCGAGAGGGGCGCGGGGTGGCCGTTGGTGCGCTGACTGCCCCCGAAGCTGAGGGGGGGGAGGTTGGGGTGCAGCCTGCCACCACCCAAAACTGAGGAGAGGGGTGGTTGGAGGGCCACCTGCCACTACCGAAACTGAGGGCCCTGCTGAGAGGGTGCAGGAGGGGAACCATTAAACAGCCTTAGTGCTATCCCTGTCATCACCAGACGATGATGGATGTCCTCTGGGAGGTGGAAGTGGGATGGAGCCCTAGGATTCCATACCTCTTCAGCGCTGCTTCTGCTCGGGCTTCAGGAGTGCTGTTCCTGTGGTTCCCCGGGATCAACACACACAACTGGCACGGGGTTGGCATTCAGCTCGGTCAAGCGTGAAGTGAGCCCTAGAGCTTTTGGGGGAAAAGAGGAGCCGTGGCGTCATCTTCACGTTATAAGCACGCTAAGTGTATGACTGTAAGATGGAGGACTTGGTGCTTCGAGTGGATAGTGCTATACGGAAACATCTTAGTCCTTTGTTAATACTGATTTCCTGGAATTACAAAGGCAAATGTAATAACTCTTGGCGTTCTTTAAAAAAATATCCAGGAATTCAGAGACAGGTCATTCTGCGCTCCTCCGGGTGGAGTACAAGAGTTGTATCGTATCCCTCTAAAAACCGTGGTTTACCTCACACTACGCTCACATTCAAGCTAAGCAGTGCAACTGAACAACTGATCCTGTGTAACTCACTCGGCTCACATTTTAAGGCTTTCCATTACAAACACAAGGACTAAAAAATACCCTTTGAATGAAATCTGAGATTTTTCTCATAACTCAAGTCTTTAAGGGGAAAAAAACCCCAGTATAATAGAATCATCAAACTACAAGATTTGTGAAAAACCACCAGTGCAATAACTGCAGCAGTCATGTGTAGTATGTATGTAATAGTGAAAAAAAAATTTTTTTTGATGGCTTTTTCACACCCCTGGAATGCTGCAAAGGCCTGTTAATCTTTAAACGTCTCCCAATGGCTGTGCTCAGTTGCCCTGAACAGCCCTGCAGAAGTTAATGGCAGCACTCAAAATGAAAAGTTGCAAATCAATCCCTTGCTTTGCTGAATAAGTAACCTGAAACAGTTTAGCCATTAAGGTGTAAATTGGCAGAAAGATGGAGAAAGCATGGAGGCTGTGTTTACTCGTTTACCTGTAGATGAGTTTAATCAGAGTAGCATTAAAATGCCCCTGCTTATCTAGAAAGTTTACTTTATCTTTGATTTATTGTGCTTTTGCCTATCAGATGTTGAGCTGTTTTTCTAAGCATCTTACTGCTTTAGTGCCTCCTGATGCTGTGGTGTTTTGGATGCTCAGCAGGTAATCTTAATTCTTATCTTAAGGCATTTACCCTGCTAATACTAGAAGACTGTGCTAATATCAGCAATTTTGTAAATACAGCTTATTTCCATTCAGATAAAACGTTGTTGTGATTTGAGAGAACCTTGGTCACAGTATTTCTAGATTCTTACCTTTAATGAGGAAAGCAACATTCGAAATAGCTTACCCTGCTGTAGGAAACAGGTCATAGCTCAATTCCTTTAGGTTTCTATAAAGTCTGGTGTTCAAATTGCACAGGTAATACTGCTCATGAAAGCTTTTCCGTGAGCTACCATTATGTCAAGTTACATACATGCATAAAGGGCCAAACCCCTAATACTATAATGTTAGTAAAATACCTTATAAAACCATAATTTATAGCATTAGGCACTTCTGAAGTGTCCTCTGAAGGCATTTACACATCTTCATGGGTTAAACCTTATCTCTGTCTTACCAGAAAAGCATTGATATTTCTTATTTCATTTCTATTTTAGAGATAAGGAAGCTACCCCGGAAGAAAAAAACCCAGAGAGATCTGACAGTGTGCTATCATAGCTTTCAATAGACGTATGGAATAAGCCATAGAACGACTGAATATAAACCTGTGAAACATTCAACTGTGTGTGCTGTCCTCTTGCGTAATATCCCATGAGACATTAGATTAGTCCAGAAAGAGCACATTACAGCCAGTATATTTGATATTGTGCTCTGCCTAAATAAGACCTTAGGGCTTAGAATGGAACACGTTCTGTCAAATCTACTGTGATTCAGACATAATTATGCAAAATAAAGCTTCTTTTCCTTTGTGTTTGGTGTGAGCTTTGTTGACTCGCTCTGTTCGGTTTCACACGCAGTTCTTTGTTCACTTAAATAGATTGAGAAATGAGATTGATTTTCTCTCCTCCCCATCTTCTCTATCTTAATAGGCAGTATTAGCAGGGTCTTTGAGAATCCTTGAAACAATCCATAAATGAATGGAACTATTCCCTGTTTATCTGTAATAAACGACTTCCTTGCTATCTCATTCTGAGCCTTTCCATGTCTGTGGTGAGATCTGTAACACTGGTAACTGAAGAGAGAAACCATCACTGCTCTTAAAATTACGTTCTAGTAATGGTGGAAATGCATGCTCCGTGTTTTACTTTCACTGTAATACAAAGAACACATATACACTAAAGCATGAAATCAATCTAGTTACTGAATTTGTGTTTCTCCAAGTTCATGCCAAGCTGTGTACCTTGAAAGCCTAATTCCTATGGAATAGTGTTCCTAAAAACAAAAGCAGGGACAGCGCTGGACTCTACCTTTGCACTTGCTGAGAGATTAAACAGCGCTACAGTAATACCAAGCGCAAAATCTAATACATGTGCAAGATAGCAATATACAAAATTTTTACTGTTCATGTGGCACAACAGGGGGTGTTTCACTTACCATATTAATATAATTATAAACAAGTGTTGACATGATGTGTAGCAACAGGAAAGTAAATGAATTAAGAAAAGTGATTTTTATCACAATCTTCTTATTATGTACCAGAGAATGTCTGTTAGGTGTCTTTACATGATTGTTTCCAATTTAGAGGGCTATTATCACTGATAGTAGTGCTCAGTGTACATGTGTATTCTGTATCTTGGCACTAACTTTAGTAATAGATCAGCCGAGCGGTGCAGCGTACTGTAACTGCTTTTCATTAACGCCTTTCCTTTGAAAGTTCAGCACTGGCCTGCAAATTGGAAAACCTGGACTTGTGTGACTTTTTATGTGTTTTCATCCCATGCCATGAACTAATAATTTCTAAAAGATTGTTATTTCTTTTAAATAGAAGAAAGGGGTTTTTTTTATCATTTCCTTTGAAAAACTGAAGTCTTTCTGAGATGGTTTACTGCATGTGAATGAGTAAAGTCCAGAAGCAAAAAATTACAAAAGAAAAAGGTAATAAATTGAAGAAAATGAGAATATATGTTTAGTGTCAAAAATGGATAAAAAAGGTCTTTGGCTTTTCTTACCAATTTATGAAAATTCCACTTTAACAGAATTGAAAAACAAGGTCTGAAACCTTGAACCTACAGTTCCCCAATAGAATTTTCTTTTCTGGGGACATGAAGGAGCTAAGTGAAGTTTCAGACATTTTAATCCAGTATAATCAAAACCAGGGACATTTTAATGAAGTCTCATACTTTAATAAGACCTCCCAGCTACATTCTTTGATCTGTGTTTCCATTGTAATTGAGGTAATATACTGCACCCAATTCATCCAAAAGTCTTGGATAGTTTGCAACGAGTATGATATATGTATATTAAGCAACCCCATCCACCCAAGTACACGGAACTGGAACATTACATGCCCTTTTTAATTTGTTTCGTCACGTATGGATGACCACACTTGCCTAAATAAGCTATAGAGAAAATGATGAAATTTAAAACATGAACTATCATAGAGAGGTCTTAAAAGCATTTGTTAAGGAAATTACAACCTTGTTCCTTAAACTATCCCATATAATTTAAGAGAAAATTGTATTCTTCCTATAAAATGCAATAAAATACCTGGATAAGAATGTGGAAGTTATATTAATGTCTATTCAGTCCTGGAGGTATAGAAATGTAATTTCTATGATGTTCTCTACAGTTATTGCTGTTATATTCTGCAATGGTTTTCCTTTAGGGGAAATGACATTGAGCATTAGAGAAACACTCCTAAAGGTGAAATGTCTGTGGCAGAAATGTAACCGAGATCAGACAAGTATTCCTGTGCTAGTAAAAGTATGGACCAGGAACCAAACACATGGGCATCTTTTATGTCAACTTCAGCTCTAACATTTCAAGCTTCTTCTAAGTTTATATAAATTTAACCATGTATTAACAACTGAAATTTAAACAATGAAACTTGATTATCAGGCCTAAGAGAGGAATAGCTGGTGCACACACATTAACACATAACTTGTTTTCTTTACAATATTTGCTAAGCAGATTTTATTTTATTTCCTGATATTAACATCACTCACTGGGAGAAGCACTGCGAACAATAGACATCATTAAGATGATAGAGGCTGTTGGTGGTTACCTCAGGCAAAACTGACCACATAGCATATGGGAATATAGTTTCCACAGTGCATACGTAACTATATCCTTGAAACCATTCTGTGAAGCAAACGGGTAAAAAAACAAAAAGCTGTAAACAATACTGGTCTACTTACCAAGACACGAACAAAAAGATAGATCCCAGAAACAGCACTGGGGC